TTAAGATTAAAGTCATTCAAGAATTCATTGTCCATAAAAAAAGGGGTTCTTGTCCCCCTGACACACATGTGTACTGACTTAATTATTTCAAAAGATAATCGAGTTCTAATCCATGTTATGGTATTTGCATATGTGTCCCCTGTCTTCTTGGTTAATTTCTCAGTAAGGTGCTTTAGGAAAATCTGGCATTCTGCCCCCATCCCTCCATTCGTACCAAAAACTAAGGGCGTAAAAGTTCCCATATCGACATCTATTACTCTTTGCTGGTACTTTCTCTTTTTTTCGCTTTCTTGATCTTTGAAGATTGTAGAAGTGGATTTGTTTTGGTTGCTCTTGGAATTAACATGCGATACTCTTACATCAAAAAATGCAGTTACTCCCTGTGCCCAAAACGATCCAGCTTTGATGTCGAGCTTTGCATCCTGACTTGTGCTAGTAGATTTTAGATTAAATTGTTCGCCATCCAATGGGATAAGCTGTGGCTCCTTTTGAACGTTGTTGCAAACCTTGTTTAAAAATATGGCAAGTAGATCACGGACATTGTCATGTCTTTGTGCAACAAATCCTCCCTTTTTACACGATAGTGCATGGCTTACCGAAAAGGTTGTCCCACAAGCGCAGGTACTTGGTAAACCCGATAACGGTATATTATAACGCAGACAAAGGGAATCTCTGAATTCTTGTTTATTCAAAGTAAGTCCCTGTTCTTTAATTGGTATCGCATTAAGCCATGAGCTTAAGGATGGTATGAAGATTTTAATAGATTTCTGGTCATAATTACTATTTCTTCTCTCAGTAGTTTTCCTTCGGCGTTAAAATTCTTTGAACAGAGTACTCTTCGGTAAAGTTCGGCATCCATTCCTGAAGGTCCGGCGGATCCTCTTGTCCTCTTTGCTGCATTGTAGATCATCTGTTCATCGATTAGGTCAAAGATACCAGGAGGATTAGGTTCCAGGGGACCATTCAAGAGGCTTTCATCTTCGATGTCAGCAGCTGAAGGATGCTTCTCTTTGAGCTCCTCTAAGACTTCGGGTGATAAAGTAAGGACACCTGTGGATGTCTCTCTGTCAAGAAGTTTTATAGCGGCTGATAGCTTTCCTTGCATAACTAGATTGGCGAATACTTTGGATATATCTTCCATAGATCTTGCTTTCCTCGTCTTGCTAAACCTGCTCTGTATGAACCTTATTTCTTTTAACAGGAGAGAGATAGGTCCCCCGCTCTCCATAAGGACAACCTCCGTTCAATAGCCTCACTGTGTTCCTTGCTCTTGGATGTCGCTGAGGGTTTTTGTAGAATCAACGTTGGGAGCACCATAAAGGCTTTCAAGGCAACATAATTTAGATCTGTATTAGAATTAAATTGCTTTAGCCAATACGTCAATTCGGTTATGAAATTCTTGCCTGCTTTACCCGATGGTATATTGAAGATATTTCGTTTAAAATGAACAATTTCATCGTAGATGTCCTGGATTTGTTTACAGAACTGTTCTTGAGTTATAATTAA